AACAGCGACTCCAAGAGCGATAAGGTAGGTCTATCTTTTGGCATATATTTGTTAAAAATCTAATCCTGTGGATTTTCAGGTCACGATTCGCGGTCCCAAGGATGATGTGGAGAAAGCCAAGGCCCAGCTGCTGGAGCTAGCCAATGAGCGGCAACAGGCCTCGTTTAGCGTGGAGGTGCGCGCCAAGCAGCAGCATCATAAATTCCTGATTGGCAAGAATGGTGCATCCATACGCAAGATTCGTGATGCGACGGGCGCACGCATCATCTTCCCCTCGAACGAGGATAGTGACAAGGAGGCCATCACTATCATTGGCAAGGAGGAGAGCGTGAAGAAGGCCAAAGAGCAGCTGGAGGCAATCATCAAGGAGTGCGACGAGGTTACTGAGGGCGAGGTAATCGTTGATCCCAAACATCATAAGCACTTTGTGGCCAAGCGTGGCACCATTCTGCATCGCATCTCGGAGGAGTGTGGCGGCGTTATGATTTCCTTCCCACGTCCTGGCACCAACTCCGATAAGGTGACCATCAAAGGCGCCAAGGAGTGCATCGAGGCGGCCAAGCAACGAATCGAGGAGATCGTTGCCGATCTGGAGGCGCAGACAACCATTGAGGTGGTCATACCTCAGCGTCAGCATCGCACCATCATGGGTGCACGCGGCTTCAAGGTGCAGCAGGTCACCTCCGAGTTCGATGTGCAGATCAAGTTCCCCGATCGTGATGCCACCGAGCCCGTCGAACATCTAACCAATGGCGTCAATGGCGACGGTGAGGCCAGCGGCGAGGGTGAGCCAGCGGCGGAGCCGGTGCGTCAATGCGACGTCATTCGCATCACCGGACGCATCGAGAAGTGCAATGCTGCAAAGCAGGCGTTGCTCGATCTTATACCTGTCGAGGAAGAGCTGACAGTTCCTTTCGATTTGCATCGCACCATCATTGGACCGCGCGGCGCCAATGTGCGTCAGTTTATGTCCACGCACGATGTCCATGTGGAGCTACCGCCCAGCGATCTAAAGTCGGACATCATCAAGGTCTCTGGTACGCCGGCTCGTGTGGCCGAGGCACGCGAAGCGCTCGAAAAGATGATTGCGGACTATGAGGCAGATCGAGCTGATCGCGAACTGCGCTCGTATGTGCTCCAGATTGAGGTCGATCCGGAATATCACTCGAAGCTCATCGGTCGCCAGGGTGCAGTCATTAATAAGCTGCGCGCCGATTATGATGTCAATATCTCGCTGCCTAAGCGCGACGATCCCAATCAGCGTATTATTTCCATAACTGGCTACCAGGCCAAGGCCGAGGCAGCTCGTGATGCCATCCTGGAGATTGTCGGTGAATTGCAGACGTTGCATCGTGAGGTCATCGAAATTGATACGCGCATCCATTCGCACATCATTGGTCATCGTGGACGCACCATCCGCAAGGTCATCGATGATTACAAGGTGAGATAGCTGAGTGAATGGAATAACTGGTAGAATCCATCCATCATTCATTTATATATATGTATATTCATATTTAGGTGGACATTAAATTCCCATCATCTGATGATGCTCAAGCCAATCCAAATGCTGTGACCATCATTGGCAAGGAGGAGGATGTGGAGAATGCCAAGGAAATGCTCTTGAGCATGGCTGAGGATTATGAGCGCGATTACTTGGAGAATTTGCCGCCATCGCCGCAACCGCAAACGGTGGGCGCCTTTCTCACTGGTGGCGCTGGCGCCAGTTCCGGTTCGGGTAGCGGTAACGGTGGCAATAGCAATGAGAACGGTTTCATCATGAAGGATGCACCGTGGGAGAAGAAACAGCAAGCCAAGAATCTAATTGCGCCCAATACCCAATCGCAGGAGGATTTCCCGGTGTTTGCCGCCGGCGGTGCTTCTGTAGCGGCCACGCCCATTACCTCGGTGTGGGGGCCGAAGAACTAAGAGAGAGTAAATAGTCCAATCAGCGCCAGCTGCAGAAAGCGACGGGGATTCGGGGTAAACGAAACGAAACGGAACAGAACGGGCGGGCGGGCGTTGAGCAGCAGGCGTGCTCGGTCGGAGTCCTTAGTCGAAAACTAGTGTCAAAAACAAAAAACAAAAAAAAATATGGTACAGGTTGTCTCTCTCCCTCACATCACCCTCTGTCTCTCACATACTCTCTCTCTCTCTCTCTTTCACTCACTCTCCCAGGAGCTTTTCTACAATGCAATTCAGAAACAAACAAAAAACGACAAAATGTTCATAAGAAAAACTATTTTTATATAATTTGATACAGAGAAACTCTGACCTACACACACTCACAAACACACACACATACTCAGACACTTGAAATTGCATTTATACAAAACAAAAAGAAAAACAAAACACACTTTAATTTAGCGCCAATTTCTGCCCATCCTCAACCTATTACTCCCTGTTTCTGCCCCATTTTCTTGGTTTGCCCTCAGCCACCCAAAAAAAAAAAGAAAAACAAACGAAAAAAAAAACAATGACTTAATGCCAATTTCTTTTTATAACCATATTTCATTTCAATGCATAAATATTCTAATTAGTTCAAGCTACTTAAATTTAAGCAGAAAGTTCAAGGAATGTTTTGTTAAAAGTGGTTGCAACAAATTTAATTGAAACAAACACAAAAAATAATATGATATTTTATGAAACAAGAATGAAAAGAAACCCAATATAAATTTATATATAAGCAGAAAATGTTAAATATGTACTTTTTCGATTGCTGCTCTATTTTACATTACAAATCAATATTGTTTATATACAACTTTTTTTGCTGCGTATTTCGCTCACAAAAGCTGAACCGAACCGAGTTATTAGTTTATTATATATTTTTGGGAAAAACGTGCGTGTTACAACATTTGAAATGAAATTGCAATTGAATTATATTCAAAAGATGTACTTTGAAATTATATTATATATATTCTTATTGGTATATATATATATAAATATATATATGATATGATATGATACAAAACGCACGCCTGCTTTTGCTCCAGTTTTATATCCCATTCACATTTCAAAATGAATATAAACATTTTAATTTTGTGCAATCATCTTGATTTATATTAAATTGTTTTCGACTTATATTTTCCACTTAACAACTTTCAATATATATTTATATATACACACGGCGCTCAGACCCTGTTTTATGATTTAAAGTTGAAACACAAAAAGTATGAAAAATTAAAACAAAAAATAAAAAATATTACAATTTTTTTACTTACCAACAAAAACAAACATTAAAAAAAAAACGATAAAAACAAACAAAATAAAACAAATAAAAAACGTAAACCAATTATTTAGTTTTGATTTCCATCATTTTTAATTTATTCTTTTGTTTTTCTTATTATTTTTCTTTCGATAACAAAAACGAAAAATGAGAAACGGAAAGAAAAAAAACAAAAAAGAAACACCAAGAAAAACAGACCTGATATTGTAAATTTTTTTAAATATACATATTTACAACCAACTGCATTAGTAACTCTAAGAAAACGTAGTAAATACAATACAAAGTATATAAATGTATATATTTTCCTATATTAACGGACGTAAATCAAATGTAAGAGCGAAACGAAGCGACGAAGTAAGCTGAAAAGCAACAAAAAAATATGACATGACAATTTTCACTTATGCCATTTTTTTCCAAAGCAGGTTATTCAAATACGAAAAACGATGTATTTTTATTTCTTTTGAAATACAAAAAAATATATATTATATATTTCAACATAAATACTGTTTTGAATTTGGCGCTGCATAATGTATTAAGCAGCTGGCAACGCCGCAAGCTCGTCTATCGATAAGCCTGTTTGCCTGACTGACCATCACTAAATATCAGAAAGCACAGCCACTTTTTCCGTGCTTCTTCTTTCGTCAAAGTTCTTGTTAACAACAAAAAAGTAAATTGTCGAAATTGTGCTGAAACCCAATTAAATTTGAAGCTGCAACATTAAGGAAAACGCAAAAACAGCCCAGCAATGGAGGATCGTAAGTGTTCGCTATACATACAAATATGTAGATTATCGGCTGTGGTCTTTGACACATCTATTCGCCGCATGCAGTTGAGAAAGTGGTCGCGTGTTCACCGTGATCCCTGGTTCGCTTATTGGAACCTATTTTCTGTCGCGAGACTAGCTAATTAGATGGCGGTTTTAACCAAAAAAGGCATTTCATTGTAGGTGGGAAGGCATATAGGCCGACTGCACAACGGGTAGCCTGTTTACAATTTAGATGAGTCATGGCCAAAAGTTTGATTGGATTGCCTGCTTGCGCCTGTCCCTCCGCTGCGGCTGCAATGCATTAAACTCGTAAGAGTTATTTCCACAATTGCCTCAAAAAATCAAAATCCATTTAAATATTTACATTATCGATGCAAATTCTGACAACGTGGCAAACAGCTTGTGAATCTGCTGTGGCCTTTGTGTACAATTTACACATTGTTGCATGAACAACAACAACAACAACAACGGTAACAATAACAAGCCCTGGCAACGCCTCCCAATTCGCCTAGTTTATTTTTAATTGAATATAGAACAACAAAAAATGTACTGTGGCATATAACAATTTTATTACATTTTGTGGCTTGTTTATGTTGCGACGTCAATTGCGGACACAAATCATTTTCAATATAATTTTCCATATCTCTAAATTGAGGCGCACAAACAGCGAGAGAGAGAGAGAGGGATTCGTATAGTTTGAGCCAATCTTCCACTTGTTGATCATGCAATTCTCTGACATTGGCAATAAGAAAACCCTTGATAAACAGACTGAAGAGAAAGAGAGAGAAAGAGAGAGAGAGAGAGAGAACGAACACGACTGCAAAGACAATCTTGCAGTTTGTTACTCTTCTTGTAAAGTTAAGCTTTTGCGCTCTCTCATCCTCTCGCTGTTTGCTTTGGTGTTGCCAACTTGTTGAGTTACAGTTACAGTTAGTTCGGCCAGCAGAGCTCTGCAAGCTTACCAATCTGGGCTCAGTTCAAGTTTTGCTCTGTCAGCGCGTGGCAGCGTGGCAGAGAACGCGCTTTAGTTATGTTTTGGTAGTGGAAAAAGGGGAAAACGCTTTTCAAACATGAATCTGTAGAAAGACTATGGGTAAAAGCAGAAGAACCGAAACAAAGCAAACAAAATACAAAACAAATCTGTTCGGAGCGCTCGCTTTGAAATGTACGCCGCCACGTTCCAATTAGAAAGTGCTCGCTGTTTCTGCTGAACATGAGATAAACCACACAGAGACTGAGCGTGTGTGAGAGAGAAAGAGAGAGAGAGCCAGAGAGGGATACAGTATGGGAAGCGAATCGGAGCCTGTCAGCTTGGAGTTCATCGAGGATTCTTATTTGCCCCGCATCGATGACATCACCACGACCCCCTCACTCGATGAACTGGAAATAGCAGCAGACACTGAAACTGATTGGTTCAATGAAACGGCCGAGCATTATCTACGCAATTTGACACTCGACGAGATCTTCTATGATGTCGATTCAGATTATGCCAATACGCTTGAACTGCAAGCCGTCGAAACGGAATTCATGGCAGCCAAGCTGTCCAATCAGACGCCTTCGTCTTCTCTTGCGAAACGTTTCCGTCTAAAGTTCTTAACGAAGCGTACAATGCGCGATGTTAAGGTCACGTTTATAGACTTCTCGAAGCCCTATCTGGCAAAAATATCAAACAGCGATAACTATAAACGATTTCTGACTATAGGTCCTAGCGTTGCTAAAGGTAAAGCTAAACAGTTTTGGGATTGGGGTGGCTCCAATGAGACTGGAGTGATTTAAGGCCGAAAGATTTCGTAACTTAGAACTTGTTTTACTGTAGTTTACTGTAGTAAACCGTTTAGCTTTATAGTACAGTGAAAGCGTACTGCAACAAATTTGCATACCTCTAGTGTGAGGGTAATTTGTTAAATTACCGAAGCAGTTACTTGATTTATTACATATTTTATATATACATTTTATATATACAATTCTTTTTTTTTTTTTTTTTTTTTTTGTCAAATTGGGAACACGACTAACACACTTTAATTGCTTCGTGACTAATCAGCTTTTCTTAATTCTCTCTATTTACCTCTTTGCTTACGCTATACGAAACAAAAATAAAAACAGTTTGTGAGTATTCAGTTTTGGTTGCCTACAACATATTTGAACATATTTTATGCATATTTTGATACAAATTTTTAATGAACCAACTGAAATGAAATTCGATATTACACAGCGCATGATAAAGTCTTTGAGGAAGTTGTCTTCCATGGAGGTACATAAAAACCAAACCTCATTTCTTTTGGATTTATTATTAATATACAAAATTTACATTTTCGCCAGCTCTTTTTAGTTAGTTTTCTAAAAGTAGTATTTATATACATATATATTGCTAGAGTACCTTGTTTAACTGTTTTCTATTTTAACTTTTGCTCAGATAATAGCGCCCATTTGTCGGAACCAGTATCGCCAGCAGCGTCTGTAGCATCTGCAGAGATTGCAGCTGAATTTGCTGCGCTCACCGTTGAAGAGAAGGAACAGAGACGCGCTGAATGGAGTCAGGTAAGTGCTGAATCATTTAGTCATTACGAGGGTTGCCTTTATAATTACTTTATAAAGATGATTACAATTTTAATATTAACAACAATTATTCAGGCAACCTTCGTACATCAAATATTTGTACTACATTTCATATCTAATCTATATTTTTATTGCTCTTTTAGGAGCTGGCACGTGTTGAGGAAGAGATCAATACGCTGCGCACGGTGCTGGCCTCCAAGACGCGCCATGCTTCAGACTTGAAGCGTAAACTGGGTATTACCGTCTGGAAGGAGCTAACAGACGATGTCAATCAGGGCGTTAAGAATCTGAAAGAGAGTCATGTGTAAGTCTTCAACGTAAAGCGACAGAGACAACTAAATAGCTAGACTTTTAGATTCGATTTAGACTTTTGTTAATCTGGCTTTTTCTGTTTGTATTTGCTTTATTTAAAATTTTGTGAAAATTTGATTTTGTATTGCATTCCATTTAGTTACCAATCAGTGGAACAGAGTGTGGGCAACATATCAAAAGCTGTGCATGAAGCACCACTGTAAGTAAAAGGATTGTCTGCTGTTCCATCTATATCCCCTCACATCCAAAATTTCTGCTTTTGTATGCCACTAACAAAAATTGCTTTCACATGTAATAATCTCTATCTCTCTATATGTACAAATTGCTATATTTATATTTTATATGTTTATTAATGTCGTACAATTTTCACTTTTCAGTTTCCAACGCACGGAATCGGTTTTGAAGACAACGGGTGAGAAAACGGCATCGGTATTTGGCAGCATTACGAGCGGCATTACGTCGAAACTCTCACAAATGAAAAATTCTGAGTCGATGCGTTCTATTGAAGCCTCTGTTGGCACTGCCTATGAGAACGTTAAAGTAAGCTATGAACAGAACAATTTTTTGTGCCAATCTAATGCGGTAACTACTATTTTTATTATAAATATATATACTCAATATATATCTCACATACTATACGGAGGTGTGTGGCTAGAAAATAATGAGACTAACTGTTTGATTTTGATTTCATTACATATTTACTTAATGTCACCTTGGAAATGCTTTATATATTAGTTAAATCTAATTGCTTATTGTGTGGGAAACAGCTGACAGTTTCGTGCTAGTAATAAGGTAGCAAATGTAATTGTGGCCAGCTGAATTGGGCTAGAAAGTTGCTGACTGATTATATGAGACACTTTAAGTTGTGAGAATGATAGGGCCATTCGGACTCGTCAGCAATTAGCGTTTAAGCTTCTCGTTATATGTTACTCATATACAATTCGTAACTAACGTTAGCGTCTCTCTTTGTTTTGCTGTTATTCTTGACGAAGGTTGGTAGTATACGTTTTGCTCTTATACAATTTCTAACGATCGTTAAGGCCTCTCTCTCTTTATTCTTAGAATACTTCCACTCTCACATATATTCTTAGATAACTTGTCCAAGCTGTAAATTCTTCATAAATGATTAGTTTTCTGTTAGATTTATTTATCTATGATTTCGTGGTGTCGACAAAGTTTTTATCATGATTTAAACCAACCGACAAGACTAAATTAGATTAGATTCCTATCACCTCAGCTATTTATGTTTGACATGAACAGGCAATCCAGCCATACCTCATGTCAATTTTCATGTATTATGATTTCTTGCTTAGTTATTAAAACTCGGTATTACTAAGAATTCGCTGTTGTCAGACAGAAATTACATTTAGTCTCATTATTTAATAGCCACGCCTCTGACACGATCTATACCTAATATACATCATTCGTAACTAACAGATAATTCCCACACCCACGCCCACATACACACGCACAGCCACGCGCCTACTTTAGCTAACTACCTTTAACACTCTCTGCAATACACTAGAATATCGTGCGGCTTACTTTACTCTACAATTTTAGTTTAAACTATTTAATAATCGCATGCTAAATGCAAGCTGTTTTTCGTGTCTTGTGTGTTTTGTCTAAACAACCTGTGTTTCGGTTCTCTTCTATTTCTATTTCTATTGTAGACGAAGGTGACATCGCGTTCGGGTTCGGTATCCAGTTTCCCAGATGCTTTAGATGAGAACAATTCATCATCGGGATTGAATTCACCTACAGACTCTCTAACAAAATAAAAAAAAATAAGCCAACACAACACGAGCTGCGTAAAATAATCAAAAGAAAAAAAAAAAATAATAATAAACAAACAAAAAATAAAATATATACAAAATTACACACAGACACACACATACACAAACAAACATACATAAATAACACTTAAATACATTTATACACGTAACACGAAAAACGGAATTTAGTTATTTATAAATGAATACTGTGTGTTATTAATATTACTATACTATTATACTATTTAAATGTATGTTTCATAAATTTAACAAACTTTGTTGCTAGCATACATACATACATATATAATATATATATGCATGTGCGTGTGTGCTTTGCATTCAATTCATAAATTGTTTTGGCTTTAATCAAATGGAACAGTTCATAAAACTTTTAGAATTCTTTATGCATAAATTTATACAAACATATAAATGTAACTAAGTGTCTGCTTTATACAAATATGCATTATTAACATATTTAACACACAGCCACACACAAAAACACACATGAAAATTAAAAAAAAGCAAAGTTCATTCCTAACTTTTTTGCCGCTCGACTTAGCAAAAGAATATGTGTATATTATTTATCAATATATATATGTATATTTTTATATTTTCATTTATTTTTTTCTATAGACTTTGGGTCGTGTGGCTAAATGGCGTACATAAGAAATTTATTCCAAAATTTAATTTAAAGTTATTCTAAACTTTTTTATTATTATTCCTAACTTTTTTGCCGCTCGACTTAGCAAAAGAATATGTGTATATTATTTATCAATATATATATGTATATTTTTATATTTTCATTTATTTTTTTCTATAGACTTTGGGTCGTGTGGCTAAATGGCGTACATAAGAAATTTATTCCAAAATTTAATTTAAAGTTATTCTAAAACAAATTGGAGCTTGCATGCTTTTTAAAATAAATTGATTATTTAAGAAGAACGAGGAGAAATGGCCGTTGAATATATACAAAATTTAAAGCACACACACACAAAGCTAATTCGTTGCAACTATACTTGATCTAAGATTTGCTATATGTGTATGGGAACTTTAAATAAAAACGAAAATTTTTGTGCCCCAATCGAAGGAAATGTTTGTTTTGATTCTATCTGAGTTTGAATATAGCGCCAAGCTGTCTGCGGACATCCGGCAGCTCTCTCTCTTTCTCTCTCTTTGGGTTGAACAGGGCTGCATAAAATTTAACAACAGCTGCTGCTGAGCAACAAAAAACAAGCTGGCAACGCTGCTCAGCACAGTTTACAGAGAGCGACAGCAAAACCGTGAAAAAATGGAAAGAAATGACAAACTCTAAATGAAATTAAGTACGAATCGGGATGCTGAAGAACACTTGACGTATTTAAGTGGCTCCACATTGAAAGTGCAATTAAAATTAATAAATAGTCGTAATTAGCGTAAGCGTACTGGCGTCTCACAATGAACTACACATACTTGTTTGTGCTCATTTGGCTCGCCTATTTGATATGCAGCGGTGTGCTGCTCTTTTCCCGAGGATTTCTGCTGGCGCGCGTTTCCAAGACGGAGACAAGCAGCTGTCGCCACCTATCCACAAATCCCGATGATGTAAGTGCACAATTGTAAATTGATTGGGTGAGTAACTAAATCTTTGTTTCTTCTTCTCCTATGTAAATAGGAATATTACCTGACACCGGAGGTGGTGCAGGAGATCTTTAAGGATGTCAACGCCTCGACGTCCTCTAATTTATGTCTTCCACAAAAATCGAAAGTTATTATGCTTGTCATAGATGCATTAAAATATGAATTTGGTGTGTACAAAGAGAATGTCACTGAACCGCCGTTGCCTTATGAAAACAAATTGGAAGTGCTGCATCGGCTGTTGCAACAGTCGCCGGAGCATGCGCGTCTAATGCGCTTTAGAGCAGATCCGCCCACGACTACGTTGCAACGCTTGAAGGGTCTCACCACAGGCAGTCTGCCCACCTTTATTGACATTGGCTCCAACTTTGCCTCGCCCGAGATAAATGAGGATAATATCATTGATCAGATGGTCAAGAGCCATTTGCCCTTAGTTTTTCTGGGCGATAGCACATGGACTGATCTGTACCCGCGTCGTTTCAAGCGTGCCTACTCCTATCCCAGCTTTGATATATTCGATTTGGATAGCGTGGACAATCAGATAAAGCAGCATCTGCCCAAGGAGCTGTCTAACAATGATTGGCAGGTGCTCATAGCACACTTCCTGGGCGTCGATCATTGTGGCCACAAACATGGACCCATTCACGAAGAAATGGCGCGTAAATTAACCGAAATGAATGATATTATAAGGTAGAAAATCTCTCAATCAAAGACGTCACAATATGTGCTCAATATATGTATATATCTATGTAGCTCTGTCGTGGCTGCCATGGATAATGAGACCACGTTGCTGATAATGGGCGATCATGGTATGACGGCCAGTGGGGATCATGGCGGTGATACTGATGACGAAACGAATGCGCTGCTGTTTGCCTACACAAAGCAGCATAAATTCTATACCAGCAACGATTCGGGATCTGATAGCGAATTGCTGCAGCAGGTAACGCCAGATAAGACAAGACACACATGGCTTTATCTCGAGTACACACGTCATACCGATAAGAACTAACCAACTACTTGTCTTACAGATTGATCTGGTGCCCACTTTATCGACCATACTCGGCGTGCCCATACCCTATTCGAATCTCGGCCTAATCAACTTTAATATTGTGCCCGCCATTGCAGTGCCACATTTGAGTAAATTTCAAACATTGCTGCTGCACGCCTGGCAAAATGCCCATCAAATCTATCGCTACTTCTTCAAATATGCCATGGAGAATAAGCGCACGTTTAATGTCGAGGAAATGGATAAGCTGGAAACGGAATTTATACTACTCACACATCGTGTGCAAACAATCTACAACGAGGCGGCCTTCAAGTCGTTTGTGCGCGATCTAAATATCAATTTACGTGACATCCTCAATGTCTGTCGCGAGATTTGGGTTAAGTTTGAGCCCACGCAGATGTCGCAGGGTTTGCTATTTAGTTTTCTGCCCATCTTCTTTGCCTTTCTGCTGGTGAATAACTCGAATGCCGGCGGTTATGCACAAATATTTAAGCCCAAAGAAGTGTTCTACACGTTTCTGATTAACATTGCTGCTGGCGTCTTTGGCTATCGCTACTACAAGAGCTTTTCGTTCAAGACGGAGGAACATGGCGTCATATTCTTTACCAGTCTGCTCAGCGCTGTTCTGCTGGCTTTTTTTACGATTCGACATTGGAAAAGCATTGCCAACAATTGGGCAAATGTGAAGCGTTTTGGCCATATGCCAACACGTCTGCTGCTCTTTGCCAGTGTCGCCGTCTTCTTCTCCAACAGCTTTGTCATACAGGAGGCCAAGATATTGTCCTATCTGCTAGTGGCCATCATTCTGCTGTTTGTCTACGAGCTACTGCAGTTGAGCGCACGTTTGGATTTCAAGAACAAGTTCAAATGGTCGCAGCTCTTGCGCTCCACAACCCTACGATTGGTGTTGGCCAGCTTGTTGGCCATCTGCTGCATACGCTTTGCCTACACGCTCTTTCGCTGTCGCGAGGAGCAAGGCAATTGCGCAGATTTCGCAAGCGCCAGCACGGCGGGCTTCTCCGTGAAGAAACCAGCGATGGGCAAGACCTATATACTAGCTGTCGTCATAATTGTTTTGTACACCACATTGACTCGTTTATATTTGCGCTCCTGTGGCAATTTGACTGGCAATTCAGCAAATGTCCTGCTGGCACGCTACGGACCGACTGTCGCTTCCATTTGTGCTGGCGGGCATATACTGCTCGCCAATAGCACCGTGAAGAATATACAACGCACACACATTGACACCATGGCTCTGGTCATCTATGGATTGCTGCTATTGCAAATTCTGGTTGTCTCCTGGTCGCCACTGATGGTATTTGTGCTGCCGCCCAAAAATCCAAATACAATTACGGTCAATGGGCAGGATAGCATTGTGCCGGAAATCTTTCGGAAAATGAAGCGCATGTACGAAGGCGACGATGCTGAGCAACGCTATGAGATACCCGTTGTCTATGGCCTGGCCACCGTCTACTCATCGATCATCATCTCATTTGGCGTCTTCCTTGCCATGCTGATGATTGTGCTGCTCGAGCCGCGTGCGAGCATCGGTCTGATTGTCTGCATTGTCGTTGGAGCTATTTTACTGAGCTTGCACGGCATTCTACGTTATCGCACAGCCAACAGCTTTGGTATGTGGTAATTAATTAACTAATGTTTCTCTTTAATTAATGTTGAATTTATAATTGCAGAGAGCTGCGTGCAGCCCACATTTAGCGCTGTGGTCGGCTGGTTTCTGCTGGCGCACTTTTGCTTCTTTGCCACGTCTCATCAAACAACGTTGTCCCAGATTGACTGGCGCGCTGCCTTTGTGGGACGGTCTAGCGCCTTGGGGCAATCTCATCTCATATCCGGCACGCTGGTCATACTCAACACCTTTTGCGGGCCCATCTTCTTCTACTGCATGTACTCGCTGCTCAGCACAGAGACCTTCTCGCTGTTTGCTCTGTTTCCCAATCTCATCAAGAGCTGCAGCAGCAACAGCAATACCAACAATCGCAGCAATGGCAAAGCTAGTTCAGCGGCTATAGCTTTGTCTGATTTGGCCAACGATGCTGTGGGCTTTGATATGACACGTGGCGAGCTGGCGTTGTATGAGTATGAGGATGTTTTCCTTGGTGCTGGCTTCAAGCTGGCCACACAGTTCTTTATGCTGCAGGGCCTTAAGGTGTGTTAACCGTCCAAAATTGAAGAAAATGAAACTGACCTATTTCTATTGCAGATCTTCTGTGCCATGCTTGCCTGTACCATACACTGTCGCCATTTGATGGTCTGGAAGATCTTTGCGCCGCGCTTCATCTACGAAGCCTTGGCCACCTTTGTCGGTCTGCCAGCTCTCATTGTGGGCTATTTGTTGCTATTGCGCATTAATCGCGCTGTCGATGGACTCATTAAGTGCATCAATAAGGATAAGTAAAACGGAATAACAGCAATTCAGCATTTGCTCTAGTCCCGCTACCGCAACCAAAAGTGTGTATTTTAAATTTTTATATGCCGATCCCTATTTATTTAGCATTTACTAAATTATATAGACTAGAAAAATCAAGGTATTGCAAATGAAATGAAAAGAAGTTTTTCTTTTTTTGTTTTTGGTGGTCTTCTCATAGCTAATTTATTTATTTTTTTTCTCCAAGGAGGTTTACAAAGGAAACATGATTTTTTTGTTAAGTGTTTTTGTTGTTGCATTAGTATTAAATTTAGCGATCGCTGCATAGACACACACTCGAATTACAACTAAAACAACAAATACACTTTTACATTTACACATACAGCTTATAAATATTGTTATTGGCCATGTATGGGTTATGGCGGGCAAACGAAACATAAAAATTAAGTACAATCAATGCACACATACAATCATATATTTATATATTGATTAATTTGCTGCTTAATTACACTAGACTCTGCGCTTTGGTAACACAATTGAGCAAATCCACAATTGTGTCTTTTAAGTACACACAAATAAGTAACGAATGAAAATTTAGCGCGAGGTAGGGTAACAGAAGTGGCATAATAATAATTAATCATAATTAGTGATATTTATTATAAAAATTATTGAATAATTTTGATGGCCAAACGAAGGTCTGAAGCCCAATTTACAAATATTTATATAGATAGAATTGTTCTCTTATTAATTAGATTATGTTAAAATGGTCGCTTGTTAGGGTTGTGTGGTCATAGGTGTGTGTGTGTGTGTGTTTATATATATATATTTAATAGAGATTCTAGTTTCTAATGCCCATTGAGCACCGTTGGATTGGGTGCTACGCCCTTTGTGTCGCCCTTATTAGGAGCTACAACAAAAATTAAAAAAAAAAAAATATTTATATAATTAGGCTAAAGAAAAGTTGTCATTAAGCCAAGTTGATTGGTTGGTTGGGTATTTGAAGAATTGTAGCGTATCGTATGTACAGCAAAACATGAATGAAAGGCAAACAACTAGCAGTACAAATTCTTTGGACTATGACTTTGATTTGATGATGACAGCAGAAGCATTTGAGGCGTATGATCGCTGTCGTCGTAGTAGTAGTAATAGTAGTACTATTAGTGGTAGTAGTAGTAGTAGTTCTGGTAAGTAGCTCTGCCTTAGTCACTGTTCTCGTCGTACGGATGATATTCTTGCCTCTCCGGCGATGATTTTGGCGATTCGCGTTGTGGCTGTTGCTTCTGCTGCTTACCATGCGCCGTGGAGCGGCAGGTTTTCCAGTCCTCTCGTAATGACAGATTGAACATTGAGTATTCCGGATCGCCGGTAACCTCCTTCACAATATTCAAAAAGGTGGGCATACATTTCTGCAGCGCATCGCCGGACAACGAGGAGTACGTCTCCAATAGTATCAAGTTTTTGCAGCTATTGAAAGTGAAGACATTGCTCAAATAGATCTTTTAAACTGGGTATTGTCTGTAAACCTACCGTGGATGACATGGCTCCTTGTAGATATCCAGTTGGAAATATTGATTGTTGATCAAAAAGCAGCGACGCGTCTTGTAGATGGGAAAGTGCGCCTTATCTTTCTGGGCCAGCAAATTCATGTAGTCACGATGCGTTAGCTGGGTCTTGACCTCAATGCGCTCCCGGTTATTCACGTCGGGACGACGTTGCGTATGTATATAGCTCCAGTGACCATTCTGGCCGCGTTTGCGCAGACGCGCCTGTACATTGGGTCCACCCGACAGCAGATAATAATGCTCTACGTCGAAGTCCTGGAACGCCGGGAATACGCTATCAGGCGGCAGGCCCTTAACTGAAATCGTAATACGAATTGCAATCAGTTTATGGATGTCATAAAAGGAATTCTTTGCGAAATACTAACCCAAGAATTTGAGCTTCCTTGAGGTGGCTTGCAAACGATCGCGCGTATCGATGCCCAGTTTTTGGCACACGGATTCAATCATGCGATTCATTTTCGTCTCAAAATTGGTGGAATTGTCTATCACATCGAAATAGGGATGGCCCACCCAGGCAGCCGCCGACTTGTAGTCCAGCTCACGGGCCAGCTCAACGCCCTCAGAGCGACAGGCGTGATCCTGAAAGAATTCTTAGAGATTAGCATATGTAGATGGGTATTTGCTTAAAGTTTCTTTTAGTAGAGCTTAGAGAGAAATCTTTAAATCTTTTTCTTCTAGATGTACGACTTTAACAAGCTCTAAATATTCTAGCCAAATGCTTAGCTTAAGATTGATCAATAAACATGAAAGCTTTAAGAGAACACCTAACGACTTATGAACGATACAGAGTTACCATTAGGACTACATTTAATCTTAAGTGTCAAGCACTTACAATTTTAGATATATACAACTTTACTGACTTGAAACTTTGCGCTTTAACATATGTGGAAGTGAAGCCAGACTTTTTTTTTGATAACACGAATATGATGAGTATCGCACTAGATAAAGCTAGTAAGCTCCATAGAAACAGTGACTAGCTATACTATAATGGCTTTGATAGCACATGAGCTTAACTTATCAGTAAGCTCTTCATTCCCTTTAAACAATTGCTAATTTTCACATCTAGCTTAATTCAAAGCAATTCTCAAGCAGCTGTCAACATATACTCAATGGGCTTTAATCAGTTTATACCTGGTAAATGCGCTTTCTTTTCTTTAATTTAAAAACAAACACATTTTTTATTGATCAAAGTTTGGCGAAAGGGAAAGAGTACAAACTTAGAGTGCAAATGAGTTTCTCACCTCTGTGGAGTAGAAGTCCTCAGCGCCATTGGCAGCTGAGACCAGATGTAAGATTTGATTATAGCGATTGTCGCGCATCTCAACGGGATTCCATTGATTGCTTGCCATCATTTCCTCCCATTTATCCTTGCGTATATCTGAGAGGAGCAAAAGAAGCGTGAGTTGAAGTATATTTAAGGGAATTTTGATTGACTTTCGGCCACTTACATGCACTGGCATCCATAACGCCACGATCGCAGATGATCAAACAGTTGCGCGTGCTCGAATTGCCCAGCTCAAAATAGGTATTCTCAATTTGCACCATAGTGCGGATCAAGTTCTCCTGAAACTTATAAGCTGAAATAGAGAGTAAAAGAAGAAAGGGTTTTGAGTAAAGGCATCCCAAGTAGATGGAATTTGCAAGCAACTGAAGTGAGGAGAGGCAGTAAAAAGAAGAGGAGTTGAGGTGAGAGTGGGAAGTAAGTAGTAGGTTAGGAGTCAGGTCTAACGATTCCAGTAACCAATTGAGTGAGCAATTAAATGAATTTCAAGCAACAGCAGGGCAATAAATAACACAATGCTCTCAACTGTTTGAGGCTGATAGCGATTCAATATATATAATATAAGACTAGTTGAATGTGTGTTGGTGTATGTGTGTACGTGTGTGTGGATATGTGTGTCAAAATATAGTAAAGTTCACTCCCCTTTAAGTAAACAGAGAACCAACTCAATGCCAAGGCTTTGTAACTGTTACTAAACAACTGGACCGTGCTGTATATTGCGTAAAATTCTGTGTGTTATGCGATCATCGTGCGATTATTCATATATATATTTATAGTATGTATTGAATAATATACGTTCAATGACATAATTTGCCTACAACTCATCATCATCAACCATGCATAATGAGTTCTACTTATAGTATACTATTGTATTACACACAATTTCATTAGAGTATATTGAATAAATAAAGCTAAAAATCTACATTTTCTCTTAAGCGTTAAAATTCAGGCTGTTATTTTCAAATATTTTTGTATTACATTTTAAGATCTAAAACTTATTTTAAAAACTTCTTAATTGACTGCTCTGAAAAAAAAAAGATTTCATACTAGATAGATTTCTTATATATTACATACAGATTTACTATGTATATCTCTATATATGCATTTCCTATTTACAGTGATATATATATATCTATATCAAATATATATATATATATATACATCTGTGTATATGTATGTCTATGCATTTCCTATTTACAGTAAATTGTGAAAAAGCTATTTAGAGGGCTAGAAATAAATAGCAATAAAGCGTAGTATATGAAACACCTCGACCTTGAAAAAGAAATGTCTCACACGTACATAATACAAATAAAGCATGAACACTTTTGCAGCTTCTCAGTCAGCATATATACAGCAATGGTAGGGCATATATATATAAATACAGAGTCATGCACTATCATTATCATGTGACTCACAATGATATAGATACCACATAAAATGAGTAATTCACAATGAATATACTGTTACCAATCATAAGTCAGAGGGTATTAGACCATCGAGATAAAACAATTTCATTGCCACGCCCCCTCTTAGTTGACACTTGTTGCGCTCGTTCGTGCAGTGACATTGAAAAGTCAGATTCCTGTTGCATTGAACTTGAACATGCATGAACATGCATTGAACTATGCATGCATAATGCGGAACGGAACGAATTGAGAAATCGATCGATAGCATTGATGAGCATGGACTGCTTGAATGAAAGAAAACAAACGGAAAATGGGGGGCGTCGGGTGGGCGTTTGGTTTTTCGTGCAATTTCGCTTTTGTTTTTAGCTAATTCAATTAGCAAACGATGATATAAGCAACTGATGCAAATAGCCAAATACAAATGGTAGTACTCATAGATATATATATGTGTATATACAAATATACGTACATACCTATAGAGACTCATTATACATACTACGCCATAGCCTAAGCTATTCTAAATTTCTCTAGAATTCTTTTCTTTTATTTTTTTTATTTTGGAAACTAGTTTCTTTGGCGCTACATATATAATTATATAATTAGCTTGGTTACATTTGAATAACCAATAAAAGTGCAAAGCATATGCAAAGTTGATGGCTAACGTCCAAATAGAATTGAATTGATAAACAAATTCATTTGGCTATCAATTTTTAAGCAAAAAAAAAAAAAAAAAAAAAAAAAAAGCGAAAGAAAAAATAAATAAACTAAATGCTGACTAGAACCAGAAGTATCTGAATCTGCGACTCTGATTTAAAATCAAGCTCAAAACTGAA